TGCATTTTCAGGCACCCAAAACACCGCTGTCGTGTAAACGATCAGCCAAAATGCAACTAAAGTTTACTGTTTTCAGTTGAAATCATTGTCGTATAAACGGGACCAATCAATCAATCAATCACTGCAATGTGAGTTTATGCCAGGCACTGATGCTTTCCCCCTTTGTTCTTTCTTTCTTTCTGCAGAAGACGGAAGTAAACATGCTGCTGTTTGTAGCCGACAACCTCGCCTGCTTCCCATACCAGAGCCAGGAGGAGCCTCTCTTCATTATGCACCACATAGACATCACCCTGTCTGTCTCTGGCAGCAACTTGTTGCAAACCTTCAAAGAGGTAGGATAGCAGTTTCAAAACTAACTCGCATGTACTGGGGTTATGTGTCCCCTCTAATGGGGAAGTAATTCTGAGTAGCAATTTTTCTAGTTATAAATTTTAAATGGATTTTTGTGATTTTCTCCTCTCCAGCTACTGCTAAAGGAGCCAAGGCGCAAGGAGAAGAAGGTAAAGGAGTGGAAGAACACGTCAGATGGGGAGGATGATGAGGAAAAGATGAACTGTGATTCTCCCAGGAGCGACGATGAGGAAAACAGTGACAATGACGATGTGGTACGGCGGCCAAAAAAGGCCAGAAAACCTGTTTCAGACTCGGAGAGCTCAGAGTCCGAATCTGATCTGGACGATCTGGATTTGGAGGATGTGGAAAAAGTAATGAGGCTCCTCCCAGAAAGTCCCACAGGTCTCTTGGACTTTGCTAATGCTGTTCAGGGCATCCTGTTGCTGCTGGTGCTCAAACAGCACCTGAAGAACCAATACGGATTCTCAGATGGGTAAGAGTGAAATAACCTTTACGTCTATATTGCCTTTATCTAAATTACTGTATCTTAAGTTTGACCAATTCAGACCTTCACCCACACATCACCTGCTCACTCAATATTTTTTGTCATCTAACAGTAAAATCCAGAAGTACTCTCCGAATGAGTCAGCCAAGGTGTACGATAAGGCAGTGAACAGGAAAAGCAACGTTCACTTCCACCCACGGCAAACCATCGACTTCATCTCCAACAACATGGCACGCGCTTCGCTGTCAAACGATGTCAAGAGGCGGATTGTCAGACAGTACCTAGATGTAAGTAATAAAGCTCCATCAGACTTTTCATTGTCAGTGTTTTTGTTTCCTTTTTGTTTCGTTTTTGGGTCTTCTCACCAGAAACTTAACATCAGCATTTAAATACAAAGTGATTGCTAATCATCTGAAGAATGTTACAAAAACATATGAAAGATATACTAGACAGGATTTCCTAAAAAACAATGTATATAGACTCGTACAGAAGAAATCCCTCTCAGTCATAACTGGTGACCCACTAGAAGTGTGTCGCCGTGTCTTTTTCTGCTTTTTCTGCCCTCTGCCTGTATTTTTTTCTTATTTTCTGTGTTCCAAATATTTATGGGAATGTACCCCCAAAGCGCTCAGGTGAGGTCGGGGCTTTATAAAAAAGTAGCGACCAGGTGCCAGACTGTAAAGCAGCAGGCATCCAGGATACCCAGTGCCAAAGAAATGCAAATATACTGCAAATGCAAATATACTGTAGGTAAGCTTACTGTATCTTCCCCTCCCCCACAAGGTTTTTTTAATTGAGTCCTTCCTCTGAAAGCTGAGGTTTTTTTTATCTGGAGCATCCCCTCTGGAAACTTTTAGGTTTTTTTGTAATAACAAACAAAAAAAAAATCATAAACAAATAATTCCAGGTGTTACGGTCAAGGTTTTAATAACTTCACTATTTCTAGAATAAAGGATTCATATAATGTAGTCTTTGATTTTGTTTTCAAAAATTGAAAAGAATGGTTTAAGATTGGAAAATTTAGATTTATTAATGAGATCTTTTTTTTTTTTTAAGTAAAATCAAATTGATGATGTAGTATTGATTTGCTTTTGTAGAAAAGTAGAAAAAACACATGAAACAAACAAATACATTTTAATAGAAAAGGGAAAATACAGAATCAATGCATTGGGATATAAATATACAAACATCTTGCCAAAAATGACAAATGTGGGGACAAGACTAAAACTGATGACATAAATCTTCGGAAACCCGCTGACAAAATGAGCAGTCCACATCAATGTCTGCTTTATATCTCTTTAGAAATATCTAGAAGGGATCTCTCCTTGCTTCCTGCCCCCTTTAGCTCTGGCTGGTTGACATAAAACACATCACATTAATCACCACATACACAACAACACCTGTATACTCTGAAATACAGAGCGCTTTCCCTGGTAGAGATAGGCTGAATAGGTATTGTGTGAACTTGTTTGGCAAGAGCATAAATGTAACAGACATTCATTTGTATGTAAAAGTCTCGCACTAGGCCCTACAGCAGGTATCAGGCTGTGACTTCATAAGTCTACTGGGCCTCCTGGCACCATTTTGTAGCCCTGAACTAACTTACCTCTTAACCGGCTGCCTTTATCTTCTACTCTCACCCAAGCAAAGAAGAGATACTCCGCAACTTGACCAGGTCTGATGTCTACATTGTGTCTGCTCAGGCTAAACTGACCGGTTTAATACCTGTTAGTCTTTAATGGTTACCCCGACTCTGTTCTGTCACGTTTGGTTCTTGGAGGTCGATGTTTAACGGCAGTGGAGTGTGAAACTTGTGTCTCAAAGTCTTTTTCACTCCACACAGTTTAAGGTTCTGATGGAACATCTGGACCCAGACGAGGAGGATGAGGAAGGAGAAGCGTCTGCCAGCGCTAACATCAGAAATAAAGCCATAAACGCCCTACTGGGAAGCTCCGGCCCCATGTCAGGACCCAGTCCCCGCAATCAGGCAGGACCAGAGACAGATGACGATTATAGCGACGGCGACGAAAGGACCTCAGGGGTGAGAGGAATGATTATGCACCTTGTCTATGAAATACAATTTTAAAATGTGGAGAAAAATAGTTCAACTTCTCTTCCTCTGTCCTCTTTACAGTCCTCACGAAAGTCAAGGCGAGCAGGTGACTCCTCGGACCCCGGCCGTATGAGTGAGATCGTGGAGGTCATGGATGTGATTGCCCTTTGCTGCCCCAAATACAAGGACCGGCCGCAAATAGCTCGAGTCGTCCAGAAGACCGCCAATGGATATAGCATCCACTGGATGGCCGGCTCCTACTCGGGGCCCTGGGCAGAGGCCAAGAAACGCGACGGCCGCAAACAGGTGCCTTGGGTGGACACTATTAAGGAGTCGGACATCATTTACAAGAAGATTGCCTTGACCAGCAACCACAAACTGAGCAACAAAGTAGTACAGACTTTACGCTCACTGTATGCAGCGCGGGAAGGAGGGGCTAGCTAATGGCTCCCGTGTGATTTTTTTTTTTTTTCTTTAATTTCTTTTTTTTTTTTTTTTTTTTTTTTTTGGTCCCCCTTCTCCATTTCTACTTTATCAAAATCCTCCTCTTCCCTGCTCCTCCTCCTCCTCTTCCTCCTCCTCCTCAACCTGCCACCTCCAACAACGCAGCCAAACTTCACTGGATTCCTACCCTCCGCCTCTCCTTCCTCATTTTTGTAAGAAAACACAAGAGGGCAAGAATATTTGACACTACATACTTTTACATGAGTTATTCTTGCAAAAATGAAAATGACACAAAACATAAGACTTATTATATTAGAGGGACTTCTCACGTTTTGTTTGTGTAAAAGTGCAGAGGATAGAATCCAGAAGGCATTAAAGGAATAATTCACCCAAATTATCCCTTAAAAAGGCTATCAGAAGAGAGACCTGGAGGGAAATGTTTTGTCAACATTGTTGTGGGAGCTCCTTCGCTGTTGTGCAGCAGATTCTAGTCGCTCATTTCTACTCCCACTGTATCATAGTTTAACACGACAAAAAACTAAAATGTTTATATCTCTGAAGACAAAAAAGCTGTAAAAAAAAAAGAATAAAACCTTAAGTGAATGTTGGAAATTAGTCTTTTTGATGTTCTTATTAAAGTGTTTTTGGAGTTTATTATACTACTAGCACCCTGATGGTTTTTCCTTTTAGCTTTTAGATATTTGAAGGAAAAAGATGAAAAAAGACAAAAAAAAATAAGAATTTTTATTTTTGTTCACTTTTATTTGTCCATGCTGTACAATGGCAGAGTCCTCTGAACATAATTTATTCTATTTCGAACTACGCATGCAGTATATGTGGCCTATTGCAGGAGGATATTTTGTAAATGTAGATTTTGTTGTATTAGGTCACCCTAGTAATAAGAGGAAAGGGGATTCATACCCTTTTGGTGGAACAAATACTGCAATAAATTTTCTACTTCTCTTTGTCACTTGTCTGCTCAAAGTGTTAATCTGATCTTTTCATTTTATAAATGAAGAAAAGTTTAGGAGCTGGATACTGATAAAACAGACAGGCCTTAAAGGACTTAGAGGGTTGATTATTTGCATATTATGCCAATAAAACTCTTTATAAATAAGTCTATACATATATTTCAAAACCAGAAGTATGGGTATAATTTGTGGTTTTAATTGTTTTTATAGTATTTGAATACACTATCACGTAATTGTTTGTGTGTTTGTTTTTAAATACAAATTCTGCCCTTCAGGGAGACGGTCACTGTGGAAGACCCAACACCAGTAACTTTCTATGTTACTACGTGGTTTCATTGAATATTTTTATACCAGTTGCATAATTAAATAAAACAGTATGATTACCTGTGACAAATCTGTCAGACACTCTCAGGATTATTAGTCATAAGTAGTAGTACAGTAGAAAAAAGTACTTTGCTTGAGGACGTATCCAACAATTTGAATATTCTTGTACAGCAAAGTGTTAACCTATGTTTCCTCTCATAGCTCTTTAGATCACTTTTAAAATAACAAATATTAATTATTAGATTTTACATGTGAAACAGAGGTGACATCTTTTTTTTATATTATTATCATGATGCGTGTGGGTGAATGACGCTGTGTGTGGGGAAGCCAGGCAATTTGTAAAACGCATTACGGAGCTTTATTGGACCAAACGGCTTTCCGTACTCTGGTGATGTCACCGCTGTCCAGTATTTTGTATTGTTTTGGCGGGGTTTGCCACTTCGCCCGTTTCGGATGTTCGGTTCATTTTGTAAACATTAGCTTTCCACCTACGAAATATGGAGCGGTACGTCTTGAATTTGCTAGAAAACCACAACACCTGTCAGTTTTAATCACTGGAAATTATTCAGCGAAACAACAGTCTGACAAAATGTAATAGTTTTCGAGGCTTGCCGAAGATAGCGACGACTGCCGTTATTGTGGCTTACTTAGCTAATTACAGTTAGCTAACGTTACAGCTAGCAACCGTTAATTTAAAGATGTTAATAACCGTAATTAATTTACGCCAGCTTCGCTCCCTAACAGCGATCATTAGATTAAGTTTGGGAATAACTTTGACGGCGTGTTGAGTTTTATCTAGCTAACCCAGGTCACTGAACGAGTAGCTAGCTAGTTAGCTAGCTGAGCTGAGGTTAGCACATAACATAGACTGAGATAACTTACTGTCAGACTTTACGTCAACGTTAGCCAGCTGTGGCTATGTCTATATCAATTTCAAAATGTAGTCAACATTATCGCACTAATACTATGTCGTTTTGTATAGTTTGGGGGACTTTGTGAAACAGAGTAACTTTAATAAACGGCACTGGTTTCATTGTTGTAATTATTTGTGTCCAGTGGAAGGATGAGTCGAGCAGCAAGCAGCAGGCTGTCGGAGCTGCCAATGAGAGTGCAGGACAGCAACAGGATGAGCATGGTGTACACAACACCCAAGAGGTTGGTTTGAAGTTACTTTATAAAATAAATGTAATAAATTCATATATGTATTTGTAGGGTCAGCAAAGGTACCGATTTCCTATACGATGAATAGAGTCCACTCACGTACTAGGCACATAATAACTAAACACATTACTCCTTGACTATTTCTTATAAGGGGTTGTATCCAAACTATGACACTGGAGTAGCTTCGTTTGGACTACACTGTAGACAGAGTAACATCTTGAGTATAGTTTAATGCTATTTCCTATGTGTGTAATAACAACAGGGTGTCTACAGGGCCTTAAACGGTCTTAAAATGTCTTAAATCCAGTGTCAATAACGTTGTAAAGGCCATTAAATAGTCTCTAATTTGAATATGTGAGGTCTTAACAACTACAAATGTTTTATCTAATTTCATTTATACAATTTTTAATGTCTTTTTGTGTAAATAAGTGAAGCCTTTCTATGTAAAAGTCCACATTTCTAATGTCACAAATCTTAAAAAAAAAAACTATAATACTGTCCTTTTTCTTGCACTTGCACTTATATGTTGGCAAAACTCACTCTAATAACCATGTTCCTACATAACACCTACCTCTGCACTAGACCACATTAGTGTTGCACGGTATACCGGTACTAAAATAGTACTGTGGTACTAGAATATTCCAAACGGTACTATACTGCATTTGGAAAATACCGGTACTTTGAAATTGATTCAATTCATTAATTTAGTTAATTTATTTTACTCATTTGTGCACACAAACGCCTTTCTTGTTCCTATTGGAGCACAGATTGCACAAGTGGTGTGTATGACAACACCTGTATCAACATTCGCAGCTGGCACGTGAAAAAAAACAAGAGAAAGTCTGCCTCGCAAAGGGAGACAATACAAGACAACACAAACTTGGTGAAACATTTGAGCAACCAAACCATGACGTCCATACCGAGGTACTTACCGAACCATGATTTTTTTTTTTGGTACCGTTACACCCCTACTATTTATTGTTCTAAAGGTTTGTAGCCAAAAGGACTTTTCCTTAGGAAAAGTACCAAAAAGTATCGAAATTCATATTGGTATGGGTACCAAAACAAAGATTTTGGTATCATGACAACTAGACCACATACATACTACTTGCCTGCAATGCTTACCTGCAATGCTTAAATAAGTACAACATTATTTGTCCAAAAATCTTGTCTTAAGTGGCTTTTAAAAGCATTAAATTTAACTGTCTGATATATATAGACACCCTGAACAAACTCGGAAACAAACACTAGGGCAATATTTAATTAGAGGCTCCAAAATTTAGGGTCCTACTTATTTTGGCAAATTTGAAACATTATCTGTGAACATGTGATGGGTCAGTGAAAGAAGATGAAGAATGGATTTAAGGCAGCTTGTACAAATGTGTGTCAGCAAGTGGAACACATGCATTTGTTCACATTTTTGTTTCTTACCAGTAAACAGCCTTCCTTTGGAAAGCTCAACATACCCAAACCAACGTCTGTGAACTCTGAAAGGAGGACCAGTTTCTTTAGTTCCAGGTACGTGAATAATGTTTTAGAAATGTACAGTTTTGCATTACAGTGTACTTCACATAGAAATGTGAAAACAACTATAAAGGAAAGAGAACATGCAGTATATCAATGAAATCTGACACAAATTGTGGCAGTACAATTACATGAATATAGTAAGTGGTGAAAATGTGTTGTCTTGCCTTACAGTATAGAAAAACAAATTGTACCTATGTGACCTCAAAGCAAGTCATTAACACAAATAACAGTATACATGTGGTGAAGGGTACTGAAATGACTGAATAAGAGTTCATTATTCTGTTCAGGTTTGGTTCATCAGAATCATTATCTGTGTGTTTTTCTTTCCCATTAATGCCTGTCTACAATGCTACTATTTAGATGCACATGAAATGAAACTTCTTTTCCCTTGTTGATTAACAAAATTGATATTTATTGAGGTGGTATGTTAATTTCTTATCTGCAGGACTAGTGGAGCCGGCATGCCTCGCAACAGCACTATGGCAGGGTTTGGAGGAAGTGAGAAAATCAAAGACACCAGACCTCTGCATGATAAATCCTTTGTTCAGCAATGTATCAGACAGCTGCATGAGGTAAAAACACTTCTTGAGTCCATTTAGTGTATACATGCACTAATGGGTTAGTTTGTTTTAACATTGCTACATTCATTATGCTCAATACATCCCTCACTCTGTGTGGATTATGAAAATGAAAGACTTTGCTGCCCCTCAGTGGTTGTATCCAAAAATTCACTATTACAGACAGCGACATTCACCTCATTTAATTTCACTGAATCTTGAGCTTTACTGCAACACGCCTGATTGACACATTTCATGAATCAGAGTGTGGAATTGAATTGTCGCTTCATTTTTTTTTTTTTTTTTTGTACCTGCATTTGCATTTAAAAAAACAATAGTACAGGTGTTGGTCATTATGAGTGGGAATCCATACTCTAGTTCTGTCCATACTGAAATTTTCTTTTTTGTCTTTCTAGTTCCTGACAGATCAGGGTTACCCAGGCACTTTGTCAGCCAAGACCCTCCAGTCTCCGTCTACCAAGGAGTTTGTGAAGGTGTTTGAGTTCATTTACCGTCAGCTGGACCCGACCTTTGAGATGCCTAATGTAAAAGTTGAGGAGGAGGTTCCAGCTATGCTCAAAGCCCTGAGGTAAAATTCTGTCTTTTAGTATTACTAAGTGTTGTATGTATTAGCATTTCTTTAGTACCCCTACAGACTTGAGTGAATATTTTGATCATACAAAGCACTTGGTTGCTTAGCTAATTGCAATCCAAAAGCACTTCAGTACAACTGGAATTTAAGTCGGGGCTAGATTTAAAAAAAAAAAAAAAAAAAATACAAAGAACGACCGAAAGAAAATTCTTCATAGATGGCTACAGCATTTAATAAAATCAAAGTACAAGAAGCCTGTACATGGAAGTACCCTACTATTATTTGTGAACCTTCCTGTTGTCTCTTCTTCTGTAGTTTAAGAAACATTGCTGACTGTCTTTACTTCTCTTCCTGTTTCTGATTTAAGGTATCCATTTGTTCTCTCCAAGTCTTCAATGTATTCTGTCGGAGCTCCCCACACCTGGCCTCAGGCCCTGGGTGCTCTCATGTGGCTAATTGACCAAGTCAAGGTGAGAAGCAAACAACAGTTTTTAACAGGGATTACAGTGGACTGTTCAGAATATACTAAACCAGTGGGATTTTTGTTTAATGAAACTAGTTAAAACTGGTGTTGTGCTTATTCTGTGCTTCAGATAAACTGGAGTTTGAGTAAGCAGAACCTGCTGCTCAGCGACTTCTGTGAGGACAGCGATGATATCGAGGAAGGCGCTGAGTACAACAAGGTATTCTGACTTCTTTAATCAGCACCATGAGACATAAACAGTCCACTAACAATAAGCTAGAGGCATTTCAGGAGGATGTACCGTGTATCTGCTGCTGGAATCAAACACAAGACCTCAGTCTTGCATGGTTACTAACAGCTGGTGTTTTCTTACTGATACAGTCTATCACAAAGCCATTCAGATGATCTCTCTGTATTTTCTACAGTCTACATCCTCAACAATACTGAACATAATATGGTTGCACTGATTTTGTCTTATGCAATCTAAAACATATGTGGGTTTATTTTTATCTTCTCTTTCACTTTGTTTTGTTACTGTGCAGCTCCTCCTGGACTACACAGCTGAGGCCTACTCCAAGTTCATGCAGGGTGAAGACACATTTGACGATGTGGATGATTCGTACCTCAGTAAACTAAGTAAGCGTTGAATCTCTCTATGAAATGAGTTGTGTTTTTTGTTTTGTTTTTTTAAGAATGAAATGCTTTCTATGTATGTTCCAGTATGTAACCAGGCATGTATTGGTACCAGAAATTTAGTAATCAATACAAAACCAGTGAAATTCCACAATTCTTTATTTAAGCATACACTCCTTTATTGAAAACTTAAATTAAATTGAATTTAAATGTTAGTATTTATTCCTGATGATCTGCCTCAAATGCAGAATACTAGTCTGTGTGGGTTCATGAAATTTTGTGGGTGAGGAAACGTATATTAATATACAGTCTACAATATATTAACATATTTCTTCTCCATTGTTGTTGTTCAGCACTTGTACCTGTAAGGTGTGACGGTTGTTCTTTATGGTAGGGCATTTGTCTTGCCTCTCCTCCGCTGTGATTGGATGGCTGGGTAAAAAGTGACAGTGACATGCACAGTGTTATACCAAAAAGTGAACAAAAAAAGAGCCAAACTTGCAGCGCTCAGCAGAGAATAGACACTAACTGGCATTTGTAGCGTTGTGCAAATACATAGCGCTCTTATTAAGAACTGAAAAAATACACGGGCATCAGAAAAATGCTTTTCCTTTCAACAAGTCTAGGCAAAGCGCAGTTGGAAGACGTTTTCTTTGAGGGCGTTCTTCCTTTGGCATTTAACAGCAGACTAGAAAACTTGTAGGTCGATATAATGCCAGGTCTGGAAGAATCGCATCCCCAGTACTGTAGGTACTGGGGATGCGAAAAAAAACGAGCACCATCATGGTTTCAGGCATCAACTTGGTATCAAAGTATTGGTTCTCGTGACATCCCTATTCCTAAGTCCAATTTTGATTTATATTTAAAATGTTGATACTGAAAAATAGATGTAATTGTGTGTCTTCACAGAGAAACTTTATAATGTTGATGAAGCCATGCTGAACACGATGGAGGAAAAGCACAGAATACTCAGTGATGAGGTCGAACGACTTGAGAAGGAGAGCCAGACGGTAAGAAGACCTTTATATTGACGCAACCCCATGTGCACAGATCAGATTATGATTTTAAAATCTTGATATTTTTTTACATTACCATTTCATATATATAGTGAGGGCAAAAACGTGAGCATTGTCAACAAAAAAGTATTGCTTAAAAGGAAAGGAAATGTAGATATTCATCACTACTGGATGTGCAAAGATATTAAAGCTTTAGTAGAAATACTCAATTTCTAGTTCTGTCAGTAATATGTAGCATCTTCATTGAGAGCGACAACAAATCAGACTGATAAGTTTTTGTCTTCTTCTCCTGGACAGGACCGTCTGATGACCAAGAGGATGGAAAGGGTGAAGCTGCAGGCGGACCTCAAGAAACTCCAGAGTTATCGCAGCAGCCTGGAGTCCTTTAAAGCCAACCTGGAGAACAAAGCTTCAGAACTGAGCGATGAGCTGGAGACCACTGGTAAATATAACTGTGTCAGTCAGCCAGTTCTGTAGCAGGATGTGCTGGATCCTGATGATCTGATGACGTCTGAATCTCAATATTTAGCACCCCTGAAGACGTCTGTGCTAATAATCACTATACATTTAGTTACTGGAATTAAAATTTCCAAGTTCTTTATAGGCCTGTGCACACTCATTACCAACATCATAAAGATTGAATGTACGGGTAAACTGGACTTGTGTCTTGGCAGAGGTCCTTCCTCAGTTTGAGTCCCTATTAAAACAAATACATTAACATTCCTGTTGTTGATAAATAAACCACGAGAGACCATACTTTATCATGTTTTTAAAGCTGCCAATATAGAGTGTATAGAGTATAGAGTGCAAACATTCAGTCTCTTACTGTCAACCAGGAATAACTCAGTTCTTCTGAATGACCACTGAGCGTCAAAGTCCTTTGTAGTGATTAAACTACTCGCATGGATACCCAGGTGTTTAAATATTCTGTAATGCGGTCACATTCGGCTTATTGGTTCTTCTCTAGTAAAGTTGAACTTCTCCTTCTGATCAGAACTGGTGATTGGATCTGATTTTATAAATGTCATGTTTTTTCCTTCCTGTCTTTCTGCAGGGAGCCATATGGAGTCACTCAAACACGAGCAAAATGAGCTGCAATGCCTCCTGAAAAACCAGAAGTTTACTCCAGCAGATGTCGAGAGGATCAACAGAGAGAAGAGGGAACTCCAACAGACCATCTCCAGTCTCACCAAGTCTCTGGAAGATGCTGAACAGCACAAGTGGAATGAGGAGATTGCTCTGGCCAAAGTGAATGAGAAGGTACTGTATGTACATCTAGTATGTATTCACAGAGGAGTGGGAATTGTGTATGTGACATATGACTCGGTTTCTCCTTAATAGTTTGGATGAAACCATGATACTTAGTGTTGATAACAGCAGATTGTTTTCATCTATTGGCACACATTTTTGACCTTTGATTTAACTTGTTTCCTCGCCCTTCTTGTCTCTGTCCTGTCTTGTTATTGTCCACAATTCCAGGTGGAGTTGAAGGTAGCAGAGTACCACAAGCTGGCACGTAAACTGAAGCTGATGCCACTGTCGGCAGAGAACGCTGGTGGTCATGATTTCGAGATCAGGCCGTTTGAATGTGGACCCGGCAGCATGGTTCAGCATAAAACGCAGAGACAGGTACTTCTAGCTAATGATCCTGTTTACACAAACATTTGAATCCATCATATTTTGATGGATCATAATTTAGTATGAACAGCTGTAGCTTACTATCACCAAGGCTTAGGTTATTTCCAGTTACATACACCCCATTCTATGTAAATGTGTACTCCATTGTGGGCTGTAAATGATGATAAATTTTGGTATCTGTGTACTCGTTCTGATCTGTGCTGTGTGTTGTAGATGCTCCTGAGAAAGCTGGTCAGTGACGTGGAGGAGGAGAACGCTAGATTAGCCAACATGAAGCTCAGTCTGGAGGAGTCTTGTGAACAGGTAACAAAACCCTCCTTAACTTTTTCCCGTCATGACACAATACTACCAAATTGCATCTTTCTTTTTGAATCACATTTGTCATTTTAAATGTGTGTGTCTTTAAGGTGAATTCTAACATCTTGGACAAGTCCAATGACCTGAAGCAGCTGAGAGAGCAGATTCGCAAGCTGGATGAACGATTGGATTCTGACATGCAGGTATAGTCCATATAATACGGTCTGCTTTATGCTGGTTGAAATGCCATACTACATCCACCATTCACCACCAAATGGCAAACATCGACCACACCTAACTAAATTTAGATAAGATGGCATTTGTTTCCGTGCAGAACTATTATTTTTTGAAGCTGAAAGAGAAGAATAAGTAAACATTTGAACATTTTGGTGACATACAGATAATGCATAATTGCGTCATACATGTACTAACAATAGTTTCCTGTGTGTTTGTGTCTGTAGGAGCTGGCCCAAGAAGAAAAGGATTGGGCAGCAGAGAAGGAGTCAGTGGAAAACCATCGTAAGCTCCTTGAGAAGAAGATCAATTATGGTTACGACGATGCCGTGCAACAACTGAAGACAGCACAACAACAGTGAGTGACTGTTACGTACTTATGTATGTTGTGTACATTATCAAACGTCCCTGGAAATACTGTTTCACCTCGATAACTCTGCCTCATTTATTCTTATTCTCATTAAGTGGCGCTTGATGTGTGAGCTTTAACATCCTCCAGGTTTCTCATTCTGTTAGTCTAATGATGTGTTTTGTTTTAAAATAAAACATTTGTGGTCGTCTCTTTTTCAGGTACCACCTGGTGCTGCAGGAGACCAACGAGGAGAGAAGAACAGTAGCCAACAACCTTGCGTCTGTATTTACCACAGCTACAGACCACTTGGCAGTCACAGAGGTAACTTTCTTACAGCTCTACATCTGTTCCCGTACTGCAGGGAAGAGTCTGTATCCCAGGAATATTTCAGTTTGTTTTAGCAGGCAGACAAACTAGTGTATCAGATTAATAAACCTAAATTTTCACAAGCACATGACTGATACAAGAACTGTGTTTTTTTTATATGACTGCAGCCACTGTTAAAATCCATGCAAACAATATTTGATTGTATGAAATGGCGAAACAATACTGAGGAAAAATTAGCGCTGTGATAACCACCTAAAAATATTTAACATGTTGTTCATGTTGTATCTGCACCTATATTAATGTTATTCTAATACAATAATGTGTGTAATATAACCCATTGGCTCCTGTGGTTCTTGTTTAACAGAAGTGTCTGGAGGATTTGCACAGCAGAGTGCAGCGAGCCTGCTCTAAGGCTGTAGAGGAAGATGAAGGTGCCATACAGAAGCTGAAGGAGACTTTGAGGAGCTTCACGTCCAAGGCAAACAGTTTGTAAAGTGAGGCAGGGCAGGATTTCTTATTCACTATCTTTATTGTGCTGATGTTCATATACAGAGGTACACACAGATACACAAACCGCCTTACTAGCCGTTTGGGGGGATTTCAGCGATGCTTTATTGTCAGTTTGATTCCCGATCGCCCCCAGTTTTATTTTTACAAGAATATAAGAAAAGAAACGTACTTTCACTCATTTGTTCTGAACAAATTTTGGACATGTATCATATTACTATGTACTTAGATTAACAAAACAGAAAAAAATAGTCACTGTCAGTTTACTTTTTGATAAATTATTTTGTTTTTAAATACAACAGCAGCGTGTTTTCACAGATACATTGTAATTACAGTGCACATGTTCTGTCAGTTATCTGGTATTTACACACTCCAGATTCCCATGTGTCTGTCTTTCTGTGTCATTCTATACTTACACTTCACTGTTTTTTTTTTAAATAATAAACTAATATGAAAAAACAACAATAACAACTTTAAAGCCAAGAATTTTTTTTAACACATTGTAATACATGCCAGAAAAAGAAGAAAAACATGGTTAAAGATATTATTTGTTAACTCTCCTTGTTTGTGGTGGCTTTGAAGGATACATCATGGTCATGCTGCAGCTTATTAAATTGTTGTGTTGTACTGACGCCACTAGAGGGCAGCACACACCTCTGGTTGATAAAACTTGAGTGTTCAGGTTGCTATCGATTAACATTTTTTCTGGGAACTCATTTCCAAACATCTGAATGTTACTGTTTTTTTTAGTACTTGGTTTATTAAAGTAGTCCAACATTAACAAAAACTTTGTAACTCTTGGGAGTTACAAGCGGAGGGGAGGAACAAGCACCAAATATAGTGGTGTTTAGTTGTTTTTGTAGGCTGAATGTCTTGATTGCAGCGGGCGTCTACAGCAGCCAATACCACTGTTTGTTGTCAAAGGTTAGTCAAAGAAATGCAAGTGCTCACTGACTCTGCAGCTGGAGTCAATACAACATTCCTGCAGCTCTGCCATCAGGCTAAATTTAATCCAACTTTATACTTGCATGACTACGCATCTGTAAATTTGAGCTGTTTAATTTAGCTGATAGTAAAGGTTTCGTCAGACACAGGTCTGCTTTGTTGATGCGGTCTGGATAATATGTGAAAATGAATGTGTTTTAGACACAATGACTGTTATGTGTTATCCCAATTATCTGAGTTTGAATTTAGATATTGGTTCAGACAAACAATGGTTACAAAAGAAATGGCAGACATAGTTTCCATTTGTGCCGGTCTCATTTATCCTATTTTTATTAAACACATTAGAGCATTTAAGTTCCACATATCAGCCAAACCCCAGAAAACTGACTGACTCATTAGTAAATGAAGCGTTTATTTTAGGAGTTTTCTCCACTTCTGGCAGGAACATTTATTGCAAATGATTTGGCCGAGGCAAAGCTGGCAGTCAGGATGCAAACAGGGATTGGGCCACATCTCTCCACAATGCTTTCTCCATGTCACTGACAACATCTCTCTTTGTACCTGTTTCCAATGAACTCTGCATGCCTGGCCTGCAGTATTAGTGGTTTTTTTTTGCATCTATATCCAGTCCAGAGATTCATTCCAGATATCCTGTGGCAATCCATACACAATTCAAACCACAATTTGGGTTTACTTAAGGTTTTCAAAGAAATATTTTCCATTTATATTCTATAATATCAGCCCTGATTCAATGTTTGTCAGACTGTCTTATGAAACTTTAAGGTTCACAGCCTTTTTTTTACAGGATCGTTGTCAAATAAAGACGTCTGTTTTCTGATTCAGCTGTTTTGTTGGACACAGTGTATAAAACCTAACAGTCTTAAAATTGTATGGAGCCTCTAAAATCCCTTTTTTTTGGTGTGTGTGCACACAACATCTTGTGGGAACAACTTATTAAGTTGTGTGCAGAAGTTAAATACATTCCCACTAGCCACCAACTTGTGCATACAAAATAATACCTTTCACCGTTTGAGGCTTTAGGGTCCCAGTAACACTATCCAATACCCATCAATTGTGGTTTCTTTTTTCTAAATTTGGGTGTGTGTGTGTGTGTGTGTGTATTTTCTTTATTCTAGTTCCTATCTAAAAAGGTCAAAGTGTACATGAAGAGATAATTTTGTTGCAGCAGTATGTTAAAGTCAGCTTTTCAGTAAGTGTCCAAAGTCCTAACCTGTTTAATCCCACTGTTAACAATAGTGACCACAAAAAATGTTTTCAGTTATAAGGCTCTTATAATGTGACCGAATGATATATCAATGCATTTCCAGCAAACATTGACATAATTAAGAGTCTCAAGGACATATATGCAGTGTCACAGGTTCAGTGTAAATTGTCATATGACCAGAGCTGTTTACTTCCTTGTTGCACCATGAGACGAGTATGGCTGCATCAAAGCTCCCAAACAAAAGGTTAGCAAAGTTAGTTAACATAAAGATAGGACCGAAATCATCTTTAAGGTGTCTAGTATCGATATGTGCATTTGCATTTACTGAACTTTGTTCAGAATTAGTGAACATCTTGACAGCTACAATAGTGACACGATGCATCTAAATGTACAGGTTCAATTTGAGTTAAGTTTTGGATATGTGGGATCTAGGTGACAGCCCAGACAATGCATACAACCTTACAGTTGTCCCTAAAAATCAAAAAGATGCTGTCTTCAGTGATTGTGATAGCGATGGGTCAGATATAGACTGTATGAGGGGCGGACAGGCCATTTGCCAGCCAGGCTGTTGAATTCATATGCTACAATTATGCAAACAGATCATGAAAGGAACAACCTTATCAGTGATTATGACCTCCCCCTCCAGCACGTTCTCATTCCAGAGTTGTCGAAAGGTGGCTTTTGGTGTCACACCTTTTGCAGCAGTATGTAACACGGCTGGACGTTACCTTTGGCATTGTTATGAAATGTCGCTGGTTGGAAAGACAGCACCTATCAGGGCAGTATGATATGCTGTAGGACATGGTCAGGTTGCAATGCTGCTGGTAACGACCTAATATAAGGGGCAGGAAAGTCCATACAGGGTGGGTAGGAGGGGAGGTGGATGGTCAAACAAACCCTGGACTTTCACCCAGGAGCCAAGTGCTCACCTCCCAAATGCCAAACCAAGATGTTTTTTGCTACACCTAACCACATGCTTTTGTTGATGTCCTGGTATTGGTAGGAGGTCCTGGAACATCAACAGCTGTATAAGGGTTTTTTAATGTAAAGTAGGCACTCTAGAATGTGATAGAGCATTAAACAGATTAAAAGTCAGCCAGCAGTTTTTGTTGCCACCTGCAAATTCACCTGTTGAAAAGCATTGTGGGAAATAAAGTAAGACAATTCCTGTACAAATTAAGTAGAATAAAGGCTAGTTTATGCAACAGAATGGTTAAAACACAATTTAGAGCTCAAACAATTAGTCAGATAACTGAATAGTCAGCTGACAAAAATATTGTGATAACTTATTAGTTCATAACATCCACTTGTTGCAGCCTTTAAAATGTAAGAATTTGCTGATTATTTTTCTTTCAAAATCACCATAAACTGAAAACCTTTGGGTTTTGACTGTTGGTTGGACAATGTCAAGAAGTCTGAGAAAATGTAGCAGAAATTTCCTACACTTTTTGTTGACACTCTTTGATTCAATAATTATTTGAGAAAACAATCAGCAGATAAATAGATGAAAGTAATCCCCTATTACTCCATTGCAAAATAACTTGACTCAACATCACAGACTTTTGATCTCTACCAGTGGAGTATTTTCTGTCATCCTGGGAGTTGGGGCGCTGGCATGACCCCAGAGCTCCACCTCATGTCAATACAGTAAAGTGGAGGACATTTTTACAAGGGGAACGTTTGAAACCCGTCAGTGCTGCGAGCGTGAGAGAAATGTTTTGGCAGATGTGATGAGGTGATTGTGAGGGGCTCCATGGAGAGAGGGAATGAAAAATGTGATGGATAACTTCCACCACTAGCAGAGGCAACCCCCTGTGTGCGTGTGTGTGTGTGTGTGTGTTGGATGGGGTGGTGCAGAGGAGAGGAGGGGGAGTGCGGGAAGTAAAGGGAACGGAGAGAGGCTGGTGCTGTGTGTTAACAGCTACAGAGACTTAATTCAACTAAACAGGATAGACCTTGGTGTGTTTATCAGATCCCATGCGGACAGGTGGCATCCATAAATGCCATTTTACAAGACTTGAAAGTGTGTGTGTCTTTGCATGTGTGAGAAAATGAATGTCATGATTTGTGTATCTTTGCACCCCCCAGAGGCATGTGCATGGTGGCCTGAGTGTGTGTGCGTGTGACTCCTCGAGCAGGAATTTGTGTGCTTATTTCTGCGTAAACCTGTGTTTGTATTTGTGTTTTTGCCTGTCTCCATGCTTCTTTACGTGTCGTGTCTTGAGCGTGTGTCGTCCTGTACTGCCCGTGGCACTCAGCCTGTGTGGGACTATTTTATCACGGGTCATTGCATTGAAAGACATGCACCATGAATTCTTTATACACTATACGTTCCTGCCCTCACACGGGAAGTCGGCGTGACCCTGCCGAGGGCAAAGGCCTAACTCCTCCAAGGGTAGTATGTGTGTGTCGTTCTCACGGGGCCTCTAATAGAAGGGAGATGTAAGGAGGAGGGTATGTGATGGTGTGGATGTGTGGCGTGCACATGAGACAGAGACTGCAGAGAAAAACAAGATGTAAAAACAAAGCTAAAACTCAAAGGTTATCTTCCTCCCTGCTCTGTGACCTGGAGAAGGTGAGTGTTGTTGCTTTACTGTGCACCACGAGGCTTTCAGCAGCTCATCTGTCATACCAGAGACAGCCAGACACAGTAGAGCGGCGAGGTGTTAATGTGGAGTCTTATTAGGGGTTAATCTCACCCATCCGCCACCAGAATAATCTGTTCTACAGATGTGGGAAACAGGAAGATAAAGAGAGAACACAAACTCTGTCTTATAGTTTTATGCTCTCTACTATTTTCTGTCTCGCAGCTCCCTGTCAAAACACTGTTGTGTAGCTGAAATCTGTCTTCCTCAGACCTGCGTTATGACGAGCTCTGGCATTTTGATTCCTGCTCCAGCAGCTAATTGCCTCCAGATTTAGAAGACAAATCAACTTCTGCTATAGCTGTGGCACATACACACACAGATATGACACAACTGTAGTAACAAGATTCAGATTTAGAGACCTTCACTGTCAGACGATTGTTGATGTCTCGACCTCAGCTCAGTCATTAATAACCATAAGTTTTATTTACTTTATTAATCCCCCTGAGGGGAAATTCAATGTTTTCACTCTTGCTTGTCAATTACACACAGGTCCGAAAGACACACACATGCACAAACAGGACCTATACATGCACAAAGTGGAGAGATGTCAGAGTGAGGGGGCTGCCCTTTGGTCAGGCACCCCGAGCGGTAGGGGGGTTTGGTGCCTTGCTCAAGGGCACCTCGGCAGTGCCCAGGAGGTGAACTGGCACCTCTCCAGCCACCAGTCCACGCTAACACAACAATTACAGAAATAATCGTGCATCCTTTGGTGGCTGTCAAATACACAGTGTGCTATGTGCAACAGTTACTCTTTGGAAATTGCTTGTTTTGAGTTTAATGTGTTGCTGATGTCGAGGAACATGTTGTGCAGGTTTCCCAGCAGCAGAGTCGTGGTTAAGGTTAGTTTATTCTTTGTGTGCTGGAGAATGGGCACCGTCTGCTTGTCTACATGAATTAAAGATGAGCTCCTGCAGACAGACATAGAAATGTGGTCGATCAGACAGCTTGTGTTCAAGATATGCAAATATGGAATGCAAGATAAGTCAGAAAAGCAACTTTACTTAGTCAGAATTATGATACAGCAGAGTGTCTGCATATTGAAGAAAATAGTTTAGGCGTGTTGCATTTCCACCATGTCTGGTTTCTGCTTTTTTTCAGTCTCTGTGAATCAAGGTATAATTTTTCAGAATTTGTCAGCGTTTTTCCACAGGTATTTTGTGTTGAATATGTGCTTCCTAAAAAATAAAGTGCTGACTAAAAAGTCTAGACACAGTTTGAAAGGTTACCTCACTGCCCTGGCATCGACTGGACGTGTACGTCAGAGAACCAAAGACAATCAGTGCTTCCCATTTACAGTTCCATGTGCATGTTCTCATCGTTGGAAGATACAGTAGCTCAGCTTCACCACAATCAGATCCACTGAGCTGGTCATAAACCAGCAGATATCAGGCTGCCCACATCCACTCGCTACTGATTCTGGACTTTCTCACCAACAGACCACAGGAAGTGACACAATAAAGTCTCTCTGTGGAGATCCAGAGCTGTTCTCACCGCAATCACAACAGCTCATTCATCCATTAGAGGGGCACTCCACTGATTTCACACATGATGATCGCTTTAGTCATCATCGGGAGTATTAAGGGCCGCCCACACCAAAAATGATGACTTTAACAGTAACACACTGGTAAACGATAGCATTGTGTGAACAGTCGTGCCAAGCCTACGCTACATGCACCAGCTGTGTCACCCCGTAAATTCGGATGGGTTTCTCGATTGGCTGTCAGTGTTTCTGTTGTTCATCAAATCGCTCTGACAGCGATGCCAAATATATAGTTTGTAGTTATCGTTATAGTTATCGTTCTGGGTGTGGACGACATTTTACTCAGACTGAGAAAGCAGTTGCATGTCGTGTATATGTTGCTCTGAAGGTGCTTTGTCAAATTTGAGAAAATGACCAAGATGATGTCATAGTTACGTCATTAGTTTTGTTATCT